CGACCATTTTTTAGGGAGCCCAAAAACCCGGCCCATCACATCACATCACAAATCGTGGGTTAAATAGAAAAATGGCACTATTCAAAATGTACATATACAGCTTTTAAATTTATTTAAATTATTTTTACCTTTAAAGTTTTAACACAGAAGTATTTAATATCATTTTAAAAGTATTTAGATAATGATTAAAACGGCGTGGTTAATTTAATTGACTTATATTTTTTTATATCACTTAGGTAGCAAACAAGCATACGGCCTATCTGATGGTAAACGGTTACCGTAGCGTATGGACGCCTGAAACGACCCTTAAGAAACCTTAATATACCCTTCTTGAAAAACCCCATGCTGTAGTCTCTCGAGAAAACCTCGGCAGGTAGTTCATTCCACAATCTAAGTGTACGCGGGAGGAAGCTCCTCCGTGTGTGGAGATGAATTCCCTGTCGATGTCGAGCGGTGCGATGGTAAAAGGTAGCCGTAGGCATCATGTCAAACAATTCATCAGAACACAGGCCGTTGTATATTCGGTAGAACACACAAAGCGATTATATAGTGCATCAGGGGTGTTCGCGGAGTACCGTGTGGATTGTTTTTATGCTACAATGCCGAAAAGATGCGCATCCTTAGTGCGGAGAGATCGTGCCAGTACCAACAGCATCCTGAGCATGATAGCTTATAGGCTGGACTGTGCGTATATTAATGACTACTGTGCAATTACCAATGGAATAGTACAGCGGTGATTTTTATACTGATTTTTTATATTTGTATGTGAATGTATTTTAATTTATATTTTAACTTAATTTAATATTAATTTTTGATATTACTTGTATTATTATTATTTTTGTGTGTGTATTTTGTGTCTGTAGTCTGTACGTACTAACATTAATTATAAGAAATCTGTAATACTAACAAAGTGGGCAAGTAAGCCTGATAATAAATACATTATTATTTTTTTTTTGTATATATATTATATATCTCCCATTGATGGGGTAATAGACTGATCATTGCGGGTAAAAATCACCAAACAATGACAGTATAAATTATGAATGATGAGGATGGATAATTTTTAAGTGGAAGACAAAAATTTGCGGACTTTCAAGTGTTTAATATTACAGCTTTTTGGAGAAGTATGAAAGTAAGTGGGTGAAGTTGTAATGTTGTAATGAACTGAACTTGAGGCTAGTGTGTAAGGATGTTGGGATGACACCTGTGGACGAGATAATAATTGGGAGAGTTTTCACTGTTTTTATTATTATTATTATTATTATTATACAAAAGGAGGCAATTCTAGTTTCTAATTTTGAAAAAAGATATTTTTATATTTAATCGACGAAATGTTATGTTAAAATTAATTTGTCGTAACGAGTAATAGGCATAAAAACAATGGATTTTACGTTTTGGTATTCGGTCGATTCATAAATCATGAAGGGCGTGGATGCGTCAGTGTGCTTGTCAATGTTTATGTGAGTCATCATGGCCGATCATACTAAAAATTGACTATCAAAAATTAATACTATTTACTATACATATTGTTAAAGGTATATACATATGGTGGTGGTATGATGGTGGAATAAAAACTGAACATTCATTTGTAATGTTTATTATTTAACTAGCTGAACATGCGAGTTCGTCCGCGTGGAATTTAACTTTATTTCTCTAAAAGTATAGTAGCCTAAGTTACTCCTTATTACATCAGCTACCTGCCAATAAAAGTCCCGTCCAAATCGGTCCAGGTATTTTAGAGATTAGCCGGATAAAACAAACATCCAGATAAATTTTTTAAAAAATGTTATTTATTGTATGTACCATATTTATATTCATATACATGTAGTAAAAAACTGTTTGTTCCAGCTAATCTCTGAAATGGCTGGACCGATTTTGAAGGGACTTTTATTGGCAGATAGCGTTTGTAATAAGGAGTAACTTAGGGTACTTTTATTTTAGAAAAATAAAGTTAATTTCCACGCGGACAAAATTGCGAGTACAGCTAGTATAGTATAAGTATATATCTACTTACAATATTTATTAATGTAAATTTGATTTATATTTGTTTCTATGCAACTTGGACTGTAAAAAACGGGAGTTGAAGCAAAATATAAAAAATAAAGTCGGTCGTATAAAGAAAACCCAACAAGCACTTTACTGTTTTTTTATTGTTAAATGTACACGCAACTAAAATTGTTATTTCAAAGCTTGCGTAATATAATTAGGTATCTATAATTAACAATGAATCACATTATATTTTGCGTAAAAAATAACTAATAGATAAATATATAAGTAGGCACGTTTGGTTACCTCTCACTATCAGTGTTTATAGAGTTACAGTTAGTCCAAGGCTGAAGGGATTAACTGATGTTTACGTGAACGGTATATATAAAAAAAGTATGTATATTAACATAACTTAACATAAGTTACTTTCCAAACATTGTAATGTAGGTACTTGGGTATTCTTTGTTTACTTAATAATTAATAGTTATGTTTTCTTCACTGTCTATGTTATAATTGTTTTGTTATATTTCATATTACTGTATCGTCTGATTATAGTAAAATATAAAATGTAAAAAAAAAATCTAACCTTAATATCTAGGCTCATTATGTCAACACTACTTATTAATATAATACTACTAAATACTTTTCGGTACTCGTTAGAACTGTAATGACTGTTTGTACCAAAATAAAAAAAAAAAAATAACATAAGGTATAAAGTGTAAAATTGTTTATTTCAAATAGTTAAAGAATTTTTCAAATTGTTTTTTTTTATAATACTAGGGACAAACGAGCATGCGGCTCACCTGATGGTAAGTGATTACCGCCGCCCATGAGCACCCGTAAAACCAGGAGAATAGCAAGTACGTTGTCGGCCTTTTAAAAAGCGATTGCAGAAAGTAATTCCGGAGTTTACTTTCCTCCTAACAAAATCCGCTCTCTCTCTTTATTAACATACTAGCTGTGCCCGTGACTTCGTCTGCTTGGAATGATGACCTTGGATAACATAGAATATTTAATAATCTTACCCAAAAGGTCAAAGAAAAAAGTTTCAGCGTTCTAGTTTCAAAAATGACGAATCTCCATATAAACTTTCATCCCCTATTTTATTTTAACCTTAAGGGGGTTACCTCCTTAAGGGGTTTTAAAATTTTTACAAAATTTGAATGTGATATTTATTCAACAGCCTTTTATAATATTAAGATATTTGCGCCTCGGTGATCTAGTGGTTTAGCACACCGCTTTCCGATGGTTCGATTCCTCGCAAGATGCTAACATTTGTATTAATGCGTATTGTTTGTATAGTTCTGTGCATTTTCTATGTATAATCTTTACATGGTATAAAACAAAGTCGCTGTCACTGTCTGTCCCTATGTATGCTTAAATCATTAAAACTACGCAACGGATTTTGAAACGGTTTTTTAATAGACAGTGATTCTAGAGAAAGGTTGATATGTATAATACATGTACACCCGTGCGAAGCCGGGGTGGATAGCTAGTATGTATATATTTAAGTTTTTCAATCGTATTATAATTGTATAGTCCATATAATGTAAATTCGATATTATTATATTCACATACACATATACAACACATAAACGATTAATGAACACTAGCTTTTGCTCGTGGCTTCGCTCACGTTTATTTATCCCCTTAGGGGTGGAATTTATCAAAGTCCTTTCTTAGCGGATGGCTATGTCATAGTAGCCTTATGCAAGCAAAGTCTCAGCCCGATCGGTTTAAAATTGACGTAGTTTCATACAAACTTTCATCCCCTATTTTATCCCCTTGGGGGTAGAATTAATCAAAATCCTTTCTTAGCGGATGCCGACGTCATAACATCTACCTGCATGCCAAATTTCAGCCCGATCCGTCCAGTGGTTTGGGCTGTGCGTTGATTGATGACTACGTCAGTCACCTTTGAGTTATATATATTTAGATCGAGTCCACTTCTTATATAAATTGATAATCTAGAAACATCAGAAATGGCGCAGTTGAAACGGTTTTAATTGACTCATCTCATCATCCAGTTTAGAAGATGTGAGAATTATTCTAACAATTGCTAATTGCACGTTTCACACTTAACTGGTATATGTACGTAGGTAATTGCAGGTATGTGGGTATGTAGGTAATTTTGACGACCTCGGTGGTCTAGCGGTCTAGCACATCGCTTTACGTCCGATGGTCGCGGGTTCGATTACTCACACGGCACAATTTTATTCATGAGTATGATTGTTTGTATCGGTCTGGGTATTTTCTATGTATAATATGTATGTATTTACGAGAAAAAAAATCGATGTATTTGTATCAGTTATCTAGTACCTATAACACAAGCTTTAGCTAGCTTAACTTAGGTCTAGATGGCGCTGTGTGAATTGTCCTGAAATTATTATTATAATTGCATTATTGAATTTTTGCCAGTTCTTCCCAATTGGATCTGTATACTGAACTGGACGGCAGGGAAAAATATTCCTTCTCGAAATCCTAAAAGTGTTACATCTGAATAAAACATTTGGCCGTATGTTATAGTAGAAGTTTAGAAGGTCATTGTACAACCAACTAGCAATTAGCAATGCAAAATATCAATGAGTCATTGTATAAAAACAGGACATTCTGATTATATTATACTGGCTTTTACCCGCGGCTTCGCACGCGTTAAGTTATCCCCTTAGGGATGGAATTTATCAAAATCCTTTCATAGGGGATGCCTACGTCATAGTAGCTTTATGCATGCAAAGTCTCAGCTCGGTCGGTTTAAAATTGACAAAGTTTCATACAAACTTTCATCCCCTATTTTATCCCCTAAGACCCCCTAGGGGATAAAATAGGGGATGAAAGTTTATGATGAAAGAATTAAACGAAATCCCTTCTTAGCAAATGCCTCCGTGATAACATCTACACGCATATAAGTACGCAACAATACTATGCACTGTAGTGATTATTTACCATCAATTGCCCAGCAAAAGCTCGTTAGCATCTCTTATTTTGAAGATTCTTCTAAATGCTATTGTACTTACGTCGGTAATTGGTTCGCCGCAGCCATGGCACCTCGGGCTGTGGTGCTGCGAGAAGCAAGGTACGCAGTGTACTCCACCGTCGTGCTGGTGGAACTTGGCGCTGTCTATCGGCTTCTTACACGTGTTGCAGGTGAAGTGTTCGGGGTGCCATTTCTTGTTCAGTGCGGTCACGATCTGGAAATTAGATTCAAATTCATATAGGTCTATTACAGACTCTTATGATATGTCAAATCTCCCGTCAGTTTGGACTGATTTATTATGTACTAGCTGTACCCCCGAGTTCGTCGTAAAATAGTGACCTTGACCAAATAATGAAAACATAGGCGTTGACCTGACTCTATAAGTCATTCCACGGGTTCGGAGTGTCATCTGCACTCGTTCGGTGTAGCGTCGCCAACAGCATTAAAATAGTACGAGAAAAAAACTACGCACAGTTCCATTTGTTATGTTACTTACTCTAAACTAGATGGCGCTGTATCTGTAATACTATATGTATACTACTGTCCCGGCAAACGTTGTTTGGCCATATAAATTAATAACGTTATAAAAAAATAGGGGTTGATGATAGAAGGGTGAAAATTTAGGATTGTATGTATTTTTGTATGTTGTATAAGAAAATAGGAACTAAAAATTTTGTCTAAAAAATAAAAATTTAGGGGTGGACTACCCCTAACATTTAGGGGGATGAAAAATAGATGTTGGCCGATTCTCAGACCTACTCAATACGCTCACAAAATTTAATGAGAATCGGTCAAACCGTTTCGGAGGAGTATGGGAACGAAAACTGTGACACGAGAATTTTATATATAAGATTACGCACGATTGTATATGTATATTGTATGTGGCCGACTGTACATATAATTTTAGTAGATACGAGTTGTAGATAATAAATAGTGCACTCGGCACTCTTTCCATACAATACGTAATCAATAGCTTCATTTTATTGTATTGGTTCTCCAAATATTCGTAGAAAAGTTTATTATCATAACAAAATTATCTGATAGCGGTTTATCTTTAACTAGTTGTATCCCGCGGCTCTAACCATATACAGTTTTTATTACACGTGGATAATGCAGCTGTTTGCAGGTAATTATTTAAAAATCGGTAAACATACTGTTGAAGGGAATTAAAAAAAAAACATTGTATCTCAAAAGAATGATTAAAACCTCTTTAATAATTTTCAAATTGAGTACTCTATGTTTTCAAGATTACGATTGTTTTTTGTTTCTGTTCTTAAATATTTGTTACAGCGCTGATTATACCGAAATTATTATAAAAACTAGCTTTTGACCGCTGCTTCGCTCGCCTTAAGAAGTATTGTAGGTTGGACTCCATTTTCCGCAATTGGCCTCTCATTCGGGCCGTTGTGCGTGTGTTAAGAAGTATTATTATTAGGTATAGTTTTTGCGGCTTTATAGTACTTTCATACATACTTTCATCCCTTATTTTATACCCTTAGGGGTGGAATTTATCAAAATCCTTTCTTAGGGGATGGCTACGTCATAGTAGCTTTATGTATGCAAAGTCTCAGCCCGATCGGTTTAAAATTAACTAAGTTTCATACAAACTTTTATCCTCTATTTTAACCCATTGGGGTACCTGTAGCCAAATTTCAGCCCGATGCATCCAGTGGTTTGGGCTGTGCGTTGATAGATCACTATGTCAGTCACCTTTGAGTTATATAAAAATATATACCTAATGACAATTATATTTATAATTTTGGTGTTTTTTAATAGTTTTCAACGATTACATCCATGCTATGATGTGATGTGACGTGTCAGGTCTTTTTTCTATGTGAACCGATTTTGGAGTGCGTCTTTTTATTTCAAAGCTTCTATTCTATTTGAACAAACAGTCAGATTCTTTATCTTTATATATAAGTATATAGATAGCACTTATCTACTTAACTTGATGGCCTGGTTTTGTTTGTTACCACTGATACGTTCAGGAATTAAATACACAAATGTTTATTTTATTATGTCACGTAGCATCTCTATCTGTTTGTCCGCATAATACGTCTAAACTAAGTATTCCATATTCAAATTCATAAATATCTTTATTCATGTAGGTCTATTACAAACTCTTATGATATGTCGAATCTACCGTCAGTTCGGAATGATTTCGAGATGAGAAGAACTGACAGGAAACTGAGCTCGTATTCTTTTTAAATAAATGTTGTATGTGTTTATAAAAATACCGCTTGGTTATTAAATTCGAATTTGGGAGAATAGATTAACCACCATATGCTATTGCAGAAGCAAATAGTCTAATCAGTGTCCGTAATTTCGACTCTAAACTATTCTAATGCTGTTGGCCGCAGCTGGCCTTTACAGCTTCATCATCATCATCATCATCGCAGCCCGGAAGACGTCCACTGCTGGACATAGGCCTCCCCCAAAGATCTCCACAGTGGAGATCTTTACAGCTTCACCGAACAAAAATTGTGGAGTGCAGAGGGTACTCGAAAATCGCGGCAGGAATTATGGGCGACTTTCTTAATAAGTGTTTTTTCGAACTATTTTAATTCTGTTGACCGCAGCTGGCCTTTACAGCTTGACCAAACGATACAGGGCTAGTGCAGATGGCATTCCAAACCCGCGGAAGGACTTATAGAGCGACTAAAGGCCAACTCTTGCCTGACGGCTATGACTTTACTCTGAGGGCGCCAAATCTAAGCACAGACTCTCGTAATTTCGATCTCCGTTTGAATTGGACGGAGGATCGGTTGTGGAGGATTCAAAAGGGATATTTTTGTTATTGGGGGGTTTAGGCTGTTACCAGGTGCAATGACCTGTAGTAAAATGAAATTTGGAGTACCATCTGCACTCGCCACCCATCGTCCGATGAAGCTGTAAAGGTTAGCTGCGGCCAATAGCATTAGAGTAGTAAGAAAAAAAGTAAGAACAGCAACACGCAGTACTTGGGAGTTTTGGATGGTATCGACCTGTAGAACTGCGACCTGTATAGATCTATTGTGCTCGCCCTTTTTCAAAGTTCGCTACCTAGACCCGTAAGGGACAAGAATTGAAGGATATTCTTAGAAGCGATGGTTTTTATCTCCTCAGGATATTGTGTATACTTTCCAAAGGAGATATTTCGTTTATGCATAAGAGGGCTGTCACATAGGATGTGCAGTGGCGTTTCCTCTTCTGCTTGGCAAAATCTGCAGATTGATGTTAAGCTAAGGCCTGATTTCGCTATGTGCTTATTCAGCTTGCAGTGTCCAGTGAGGGCCCTAGTCATGATGCATATATTGTTTTTACTCAATAGTGGAAGTCTATTGGAGTATTGATTCGAGTAGCCCGTTATTAGGGCTTTTGTACTAATCCTGACATTTCTTGCCAATGATTAAGTGCTTCTCGTTTAGTTATTATTTTGAGATGTCCCAGTTTTAGGCAACGAGCACACCACAGTAGGGTTCAGGGCCCTGTGGGTGGTTTCTGCCCCTAACTTTACCAGTTGTCAGCATTTTCGTTGCTTTCAATGTTTGAGTGCCCCGAAAAGGAGTAAGGTTCCATAAAAATTATCGAATAAAAAAAATACATGGAAACAACGGTGCATTTTTTATAAACGTGTAACATACATACTATATTTAGTTATCAATAATTAAAGATTCACGAATTATCAATATCGTATACATTTGGAAATACCGTTGCTAATCTCATGATAACGTGATGGCTCTACTGTTATTGTATCATGTATATGTATATTTATTTTACCAGTTACCATAAGATGGTCGGTCAGGATTTTTTATACCACGTAGTTGGTAAACACGCATACGGCCCATCTGATGGTAAACGAATATCGTAGCCTGTGGACGCCTGAAACATCATGGGTGTCACATGCATGTTGCCAACCCTTAATATACCCTCTGAAAAACCCCATGCTGTAGTCTCTGTAGAAGTAATAGCAGCTAGCACGCCACTACGATTACATAAAGAATAGCGAGCGAAATCGGGTCGAGTTTCTAGTATAAAAGATATAATGTACTCACTCGTCCTTCAATGGCACCGTTGCAGCTGCTGCAGATGACTGGCGCGTCGGACTGTAACAAACAAACATACATGATAATTGAATCATTTACACCACTTCGCGAGTTCATACATTTATATATAGCAATATACATACGTATATTAAAACTGTAATAACAAACAAATCTATACATATAAATAAAATTGGAGTGTCTGTTTGTAATATTGAAATAACCGTTTTTTTACAACATGCATATGAATATAAATACGGTATATACACCGAAATAACATTTTTTAACAATTTTTGTCTGTCTGTCTGTTTGTTCCAGCTAATCTCTGAAATGACTGGACCGATTTTGACGGGACTTTTTTGGCAGGTAGCTGATGTAATGGGGACTAACTTAGAATTTTATTTTAGAAAAATACTATCAAATTCCGCGCGGACTAACTCGCGGAAACAGTTAGTATATACTAGCTGACCAGACTTAGGTAGACTTTGTAAAAACTCTGTACTAATTTCAATGCAATTTTTTGCAATAGATAGTGTTTTATACGGTATGGTAAGAGGAAGGTTTATATATATAATACATGTACAACAGAACGAAGTAGGGACGGAAAGCTAGTAAATAATATAAATAAAAAACATCGAGACCGATACAAAGCATACGTCATGTATCGAAATGTTTATATCGTGTTACTTTAGAACCCGAAAAATGTCGAACTCGCGACCATCTGAAGTAAAGCTGTATGCTAAAACGATAGACCATCGAGGCCGTCATTGTCTATCTATATCTATAAATATATATAACTCAAAGGTGACTGACGTAGTGATCTATCAACGCACAGCCCAAACTACTGGATGGATCGGGCTGAAATTTGGCCTGCAAGTAGATGTTATGACATAAGCATCAGTTAAGAAAGGATTTTGATTAATTCAACAAGGGAATAAAATAGGGGATGAAATTTTGTATGAAACTTTGTCAATTTTAAACTGATCGGGCTGAGACTTTGCATGCATAAAGCTACTATGACGTAGCCCTCCCCTAAGAAAGGATTTTGATAAATTCCACCCCTAAGGCGATAAATTAACGTGAGCGAAGCCGCGGGCAAAACTAGTAATAATATGTAATAGTAAAAGAAATGGAAAGTACTTTTTGGTTGGTTATAATTATATATTTAATATTAAAAAAATAACAAATATTTAAAAAAGTGTTTTTACATTTATTTGATAGTAGTAGCTCGCATCGCATTCATCCGGCTGCATATAATTCATGTAATTTTTCATATAAATATCTTTACATAATATGCAGTATGTCTTTTTGGAAGTACTCTAATGCTGTTGGCCGCAGCTGGCCTTTACAGCTTCACTGAACATAGGGGGCGAGTGCAGATGGCACTCCAAACTTAGGAATTATGGAGCGGCTGAAGGCAACCTTAAGCCTGACGGATACGAGTTTAGTCTGAAGTCACCGCAAAGGTTCGACCACGACTATAGCTGTCGTAATTTCGATCGATGGTAGATCGATCAATGGCGAACTCTCTCTTATAATATTTGTCTCTTTTTATACAGACAATTTTATAATAAAGGAAATAATGTTACTTGATTTTTTTAAAGTATTCATTATTGTTTTAATTTCGCCAAAAACTATGGTTTCCTTACTTCTTTGTTCTCTGATTTCCTAGAAGGACAAACTCGAGCCAAATGTCCTTGACTCTTACATGTGGTACACGTAAAATCAGCAAATCGGCATTGAGATGTGTTATGATTTCCTGAACACACATTGCACTTCCGTAGATTCATGAATTTATACTCTGGACGCCAGGTCGCGAATTGTCTTGTTTGCCCTTTATTATGATCTCGGTGTCGTATTAGAATGTCCTCTTCAACGGTCGCTTTTTGCCTGTCTTTAACTTTTGTTTTATTTGGTATTAGGATGTCATCTTCAATGATCGCTTTTTCCGTTAATTTCACGCCCTGTGCTAATTCACATGCTTTAGCAAAGTCTAGATTATCTTCTGTAAAAAGCTGCTGTCTTATTGTTTCATTTGTGATACCATATATGAATTGATCACGTAAACTCTCATCCAACCAATCACCAAATTTACATCTATTGGACATTATTTTCAACACAGTCGCATATTGTGCTGCCGTTTCGTTGGCTTGCTGCATTCGCTGTCTGAATTTGTATCTTTCTGCTGCGACACTAGGTTGAAGATAGTTTCTCATAATGCTCGTTATCTCTTGAAAGGTTTTCGCTTTCGGTTTATTAGGTTTGCACAGATTCACTAATAATTCGTAACACTCGCCTCCCACGACAGTTATTAATGTAGACACATGCAACTCTTCAGGTATTTTGTTCACAATGAGGTAGTGTTCTAGCCGCTCCACATATATCTCCCAATTGTCTGTAGCAATCGTAAACTCTGGTATCCTTCCAATCGACATTTTTTCACTTGTTTTAGAATTGTGGCTGTGGAAAATATCGGAACGCCTAATGTACAGTATACTCGACGAAAAGTTTTCACAAACAACATTTACGTTTAATAATCATTTATAATAACATTATCTGATAAAAAGAAATGACGGCATATTGATTATGGTATATAAAGCAAAGACTAACGCTTGTTATATATATTTTATTCTTATGGATAAGAGAATGTTGCCCCCGCTTCCGCGAACGGTTTACGCTGGCGGGGCACCAGTGAAGGGTGATAAGATGGGCATGAGGCATGAGATCAGGTCAGTTAGTCCATCGTGGTGAATTCACCGTGAATTTATCACGATTTCCAGAGGGAACCACTTGGAAGTCAATCTGACATAGTTGCTAGCAATTGGGGTTATAAGTGTTATTAGTAATCACCTTCCTCTTGTTTCTAAGGTTACAGAGCAACATAATGCCATACGTTATGATAATATACGCAAAACTCTCAAAGTTACGAGGCCGAAACCGAGTTGGGCCACTAGTCTAAATTGATATTATAAAGAAAAAAAAAATCTGGTTAGTAAGGTATAAATTCTGCTTAAGCTATTTTAAATTATGGACGACCTCGATGGTCTAGAGGTTTAGCACACCACATTTATTCCGACGTGTTTTCACAGGCTTCACAGAGCAACCTAGCCGTTCCAAGTATTTGTGGCCTGTGTACTGTTACGCACTCCAGGATTACATGAGCAGTCATTTCTTCGGTTTCAAAGCAGTCCTCACAAAGGGGACTGCCAGTAGCACCTATATTAATAATAATAATAATGCTGTAATTCTAAACACCTGCAGAATAGTCCGAAATTTTTTGTCATCGTAATCATTTATTTTATAATTGTCATTGTTTGGTGATATTCACCCGCAATGACAAGTTTCAAAATAATAAATGTCAATCAAAGGGAGATATATAAAAAACAATAATAATAGTATATTTATTTTTCTCCACAAAATCATACATAATATCAAATGCTGCAGAGCCTTTGAGGCATGTAAATTTCCATGCAAAAATACAGATTTGTGGAGAACTGGTGCCTGTACTAGGTATTCGAAGAACCTGTGTCACAGGTCACCAAGTCCCCCCACTAGATCTTACATGCTAAAATTTATATATAGGTACAATTTACCTAATTTACTTATTGTGTACAGGTGTTTGTTTAAGGGACAGTGGCCCGTTAATGTCTCTATCATTATTTTGAGGTTATGCCTATCTAGATTCAGTAGACGTTTTGTTTTTTTTTTAACATTAAACCACATATTTAAAAGTAAATATTTGTACGTATGAGGTTAACTGTACATTATGTTGTGTAGCGGACGCCGTGTGTGCCCACTACATCCTCATTCGACGTTTTTTTTACACGATGATGTCACATCGCGGAACGTTATCAGAAATGTCACAACCAAGGCCGTAGTCAGGCAGGTACAGATTGTCAAGTGCAAGTGCCGCAGTGTATATGAAAGGTAAATGCGTCACTACTGTACCTACACTTGCTTTGATCTATGGTTTCCCCTCTAATATGGTTATGGCAAAGCAAATAGTATACACTACTAGCTTTGATCTATTATTTCCCTTCTAATATGGTTGATTGATTGCAATGATAGCTGACCCATCCGTCATACTCGTGAACGGGTGTTTGTGGGGACTGCTCTGATCGGGTTACGAACACTGATTAGACTATTTGCTTTTGCAATAGCATATGCTGGTGGTCACATTATTCTCCCAAATTAAAATTTAAAAATGAATCTGTTATTTGAGGTACTGGTCTGCTCTAATCACTATGACTGATTTCCTCTTATTAATTGTTTAACCAGTTGGTTATATATTCAATATTTTTTCTATTTGAGTATTTAATCGAATTAGTACTAATTAGTGGTTTGTATTCACACACTTAAACTTAAAAATGTGAAGTAATAATAAAATTACTTAAAAGAGCAACACGCAAGTTTCTTACTCGTTCTTCTTGTGATGAGACAGCTTTCCGAACGAGCGGTAGATTAAAAAATGTAATGACTATTCAAAAGTGCTTCAATGTAAGTTTATTTGAATAAATGATTTCTATTCTATTCTATTCTGAAGGGCCCTGAGGGTGTAGTGGTTTAGTCTTGGTCAGCTAGTAAATAAATAAATATTTATTATGCAACGTAAGTCCGTATGTCCTTATCGGATGCAGGTATCTATGTACGGATGCGCGCGCGCATCGTCACGTGCACAACTCGTTCGCCAAAAGAATACGTATGGAGTCATACATTTGTGTTGTCATATTCGGAAGTCGTTATAAAAGTGTGACGTTCATGTATTGTTAACCATACGCTCAATTTATGAGCGATAGCGTTTCAAAATCGGTAATAAGTAACAAATTATTATTTAAGATTTACTTTATAATTGTCTTTATTCGTATGGCTCTTTATAGTAGCAATAAAAATGGAGAGAAGTATAAAAACAATCTAAATTATAGTGTAAGGGCTGGTTGGATGCGGAGGTCGTGTTACATGCGTATGTTCCTTGTATTCAAATTCAAAAATCATTTATTCATGTAGAACATTTTATATGTATTTATTTTTATTTTATCATATTAAAGTTATCTTCTTTTTATTTT